CTAAATTTAATTGGTCGTTTGTGTGGGATGGCCAAATTGTTAACGACAAAACTGGGGATCAATTCTTAATGACGCGCCTTATCGTAAACATTTACATAAAAATTTACTTTGCCGGTGTCGTATGCTGTAAAACCCATTCGTAAACTTGTCCACCATATATTTTTTTGGTTTATTGGTTTTATTTTAAATAATTAGCTTTACAAATCGCTTTCTTTTAAAGATACGTCGTTGTTATTTAGATTGAACAATATCACTACTTCGTAACTACTTCATTAACTAATCCCGTGTCATTTTAGTCAGCACCGAAAGAAATTCACTACAGAATGAGAAATAATAATAATAATAATATATATTACGTGCTTTGCAAAACAAAATAATACTTGCACTAGTCAAAACAACAAACATCAATACATTAAAGATAACTACATCTAATTAGTAATTATTTAATTAATGAAGGTAGGTATAGTAATCTTAAGGAATCCCTCAACAGAGTAGAAAGCCTTTTCCTTAAGGAATTTCTTAACCTTCAGTTTAAAACTTGGGAATGCTAACTCTTTAACATCATTTGGCAGGTGATTGAAACATTTTAAGCCAATAATTTCTGTTTGTAGAAACCAACTCATTTCGATGAGACCTTTTATGCCTCCCCCCTCATTTTCAAAAGTTTTACTTGGCACCACGAAAGGCTTGCGTATGCAAAATGTGAGGCCAATTGGTTGTCGCATGTAAAAGTTTTACTTCCAAAAACAGCATCACAGAACATAATTCATGGGGAGCCCCCCTCCCCTAAGACAGCGAAATTGGATGACCATCTGATACATCTTGAAACTATAGGGCAAAAAAATCCAAGACTAGAAGATTAGTGGTGGAAGAGGAGGAATACAGATGGGGTAACAAAAAAAGACTAGTGAGAACGGGAGAGGAAAAGTCGGCGTAACAGTAAGACAAAGAGGAGGGGGGGGGGGAGACAGAAACAACAACGGAAAAAGGAGCAAAACAAAATAAATATGGAGAGGAATAACATGAAGATTATACTCTGGAATGTGGCGGGGGTTGCAAGCAAATACTTTTGCGAAGAGGAATAACATAATGGGAAGAACAAAAGGAGGCATACTAACAGCGGTAAAAAAGAGATGATGGAATAGGGAGAGATAGAAATATAAGAATGCAACAAAGAGGAATAATGGTTGCTGGATTTATCAGAAACGAAAGGACGGAGAATATAAAACGGAAATATGGAGGGAAACTTAAACCAAATAATATTGGACGCAATAAAAGAATGTATGCTAGAAACAAGGATAGAATTGGATCACAAACCGATCGAAATGAGTCTAAAAGAGACGATAAAAAGACCAATAAATGCAAAAATACAAAGAAGAAGGGAATATACAGTTATGGACAAGAGACAGTGTGGACACTTATAAGAGAAGAACAAGAAGAAAAAATATGAAGCGTACAGAAGAGGAGAGAAAATGATTGGAAAAGAGTTTTAAAAGGCAATAACGTGGAGACAGGTAACTGAAGGAGAAGGGAGAGACAATAGAAAGGAGTGGTGGGGCAGAGAGTGTACGGAAGGGAGAAACAGATACAGAGCAATAGTGGAGAAAGGAATAAGAGGCGTTGGGAGAGCAGAAAAAAATTGTAAGGAAAAAGATAAAGAAACAGAAAGAATATGAACAAGAAATCAAGGAAATAATCTTACAGCTTAAATAGTTTAAATTATTTTGAAAAAGTGCTGTTCTATGCTGACTAGGATAGACATATGGAAGATGATAAACATAGAATAAAGGAAAACATAATAAGTAGGAGATGAACACAAATAGGGAACTGGAAGCAGCACTTTATCGAGGCAGGAGAAATAAGAGCTGATAGAGGAGGATGGAACAGAGTAGGTGAAAAATTGTTATTATTTCAACCTCTTCGAGATATCAAGAGAAGAGGTTGAAATAATGAATGAGGAATGATTTTCGTTACAAAGAGTATCAAAGAAGGGGAAGCGTTTTTAATGGATTTAAAGGCAGCGTGTGACAGTAGAAAAAGGTATTTGAAAATTCTTAAAGAAGTTTATTTTATGGTGGAAGTGGCATCTCCTTAAAAACTGGAGACCACGAGAAAACGATCTACTAGTTTCGCGACGGTAGAAGAGCGTGTACATTTGCTTACGCTAAATTTTCGAGCAATCAGCTTTATTTGTTTTGTTGGAGACGTAGTTCGTCATTTTTATAAGTTTGTGCAGAAGCAAGTTAACTAAAGTGGTGTAAGAAGTTTAGCGCGTGTTGTCCGATTATGGAAAGAATTTTGTCGAATTAAAAAGCAAGAAGCACAGCGAGGCCTTTTGTTAAGGTTCTCTTTTTATTAATTCTCTTGTCCGAAAAGCCATCCAAAATCTGTCGTCTTCTTCATCAAGCCAGTTTTGTTTGTCATCTAATTCTGTGTCAGCAAACTGAATTTCAGAAGCTCTCAGCATTTGTGTGAGTTAAGGGCGCCTTGTATCGAAATCCTTGTGTAGCCAGATCATTTGGATTATTAAGAAAAAAATTTTAAGTAAGTAATTTTAAGATGTCTTACTTTAATTGTCGTCCGGCTGCGTGCGGGGTAATATGTTCAAATAAGGTTTCTAAGTGTTGTGTTTCAGAATAAATGTTTGTCAATGTCAATCAACTAATTGTGTGTTTATTTGAATGCATTGTGCGATCCGGATAAAGTTTGCATGTCAAATTTTTCTTTTTGTGCCCAAGAATTATGTCAGGTTTAATGAAAGTTTGTGTAGTTAATTCTTTGGAATTTTCGAAAGTTGATTGAGGCTACTGAGTCTCCCAAATTATTGATTAAAGTCAACATTGAGATTTTTCACTGTGACAGGATCAGGATCCGTCCTGGGTGATCCTTATGCAATGGTTTTTATCCGTCCGTCCATCTGCCCATCCGTCTGTCCATCTCTTCCTCGCCTAACTCGAGAACGAAAAGAGACAGCGATGTCAAACTTTCGCCAATACATTTCTACGAGTTCAAGGATCAGTGCTATCGACTATGAGCCGGATTCAAAGTCTGTTTTCCGAATACGAGCTGAGTAGCAAAAAATTACCCAACTGAAAATCGTATGCGATTCTTCGTATCTTGTTCTTCTATATCTCTAAATAATGTGGTTATCCCATTAAAAAAATGTGTTGCGCTAAATTGTAACTTAAAGGAAGTGTTTTCAAAAAGAGTTAAATTTGTCTAAAAATGTGCTAAACTTCAATTTGAACCTTAATTACGTTAACATGTTAATTGAATAAAGTGAAAAAGCTTAACCGTCATTTGGAACATCGAATTCAAGAGATCAGGTATGATAATTACTTTTTTAAATTCTAATAATCATAAGAATTTAAACATTCAAATTCCACCAAATGGCAGTAAAAATTCCGTTCCTTATCGCGCATACACATTCAATGACCCTGATTATAATAAGTACACGTTTAAATGAAAATGAAAAACCGAAATTGTACTGTAAGCTATAAAACTAATGCCCCTGCGAGTGCTACTATTTCATACTCAAAATAAAAACCAAAAAATTACTTTTCACTTTCAGATTCTGCGAAAGTAAATTTCACTAATGGAATTCAAACTCAAGATCAAAAAGAGCAGGTTTACAATACAAAGAAAAGAGCTCGTAATACAGTTATGCTATTGCCCATCATGATGGTGATATAGCGTATGCACCAAATCAAAAAACCATGTATCGAGCATAGGCGGACCGAGGCCTCAGGGGGCCCTGGACTAATATTTTCAGGGGGCCCTACTTACATGAATGTCGGGTTATCGAAAATCATCTTCATTTCTATTTTTATTATTTCTTCAGAAAAACAAAGAATGGAAGAAGATTGGGAAAGTAGATCAAAATAATTTAGATCTGAGGAGTGTTCGAGTGTTGTGTCTATCGACCAGTTATCGTATATGTGAAGCCTCTTATAAGGTTTTCAAAGCACCCGTTAAAGTGAATTTATCCACCACCAAAAAGCCACATTTGTAATTAAATAAAGCCAGTTTTGTTGAAATCAAGATTCAAATGAAAGTAAATAAGTGAAGATTCCGAAGTATCATCAGTTAGTTTCTGTGTTTTTAATGAGTCATTTAAAGAAAATCGCAGGGGTTACAAAGCGAATCCCTTTTTAAGTTTGTTTCTAATTTGTAGTCTGATAAACAAATCAAAAATTGCAAAAACAGGTCCATTCCATCCCCTCTCCCCCAAATGAGACATCATTCTAATAGGCATAAAATTCTCTTTACGGAAGAGTAGATCCTGGCACAAGATTTGTAATGCCAGCTTATACAGCTTGATCTCTTTGATATTGGGCTCTTATTTTATGACTAGGAGAGTGTTCTCGTCTATCGCTAAGCTCAACCAACCATTTGCGCCAGCAGAGATAATTGTTATCACTCCAGATCGGAGAAGAAAGTCAAAACTTCTGTTACGATGTACGCACTATGGACTGTACTTTTTCTTACATAATACTTATCAAATAGAAAAGGACTATGGAACCTGTTTACACCAACGCCAAATTCAATGACCCTTACCAGATTTGAGCCGTTTCCAAAAGTCATAGGACAGGAAAACATCAACACACATCATGTGCCCAGATCAGTCTTACAATCCCTTGCAATTAACATCCCCTTGTAATTTGGCGGACATCTTTCGGCAAACCAAACTGTTAATAAGGACGCACGTTTCAGGTCGATCTTATCGAAGGTAGCTACGTGTTTTCTATTCATTCGCGATTATTGTTGCTGTGAATATCAATATACCACGACAAAAAATGGGTGTCTTTAATTATCCACTATTTTTGCTAATTGAATACCCAAATTTCCCTTGTGACCGCCAGGTACGATTCGGAATTTACAAACCTTATGTGGAAACCCAAGTTATTTTCGTGATTCAGATGTTGCTAAATAACTGATATATCTGTTTGTGCGATAAACTTATTAACAAAATAAACGTATAAACGTGTACAATTATAAATCTTAGCTCTTTACTCGTTTGTCTTTCGCTCAGTGAAGTATTTCGCTTTCGTCAAAAATTAAGCGCTTGATTGCGATATTGCATCTAATCTATTTACTAACACTGTAATTGCGGCGTTGTTTCGGAATTACTTAAAGCAAACTGTTCGCACAATTACACGGAATTAATACTGCTCGTAATAGTAGAGTAAAAATTTAAACCCCGAGATAGCCGCTTTTATTTTAAATGGTGGGATTGTAGTATCAGTGAGCACCTGACATTATTATTTATTTAAATAGTACAACGAAATCCTTTACCGTATAGCAATTTCTCCTCAGCGCGTATGCTACTGCAGTGCAAAACGTTTTCTTGAAGAGATCATTGGTCAAAAAAGTGCAGGCGCAAGATGCTTTCCGGTTGGAGATTGACTGTATCAAAATGTGAGTGAATTTGTTGTTTTTAGATACAAAATTTGGCAAGCGTAAATAATAGAAATGTTCAAAGTTGGCGAGTAATTACGTGAAAGTTATCGATCTTCATTGATGAGCGGTGGCATTAATAAGAACTTGTTTCCTTTCGCGTGGCCTATTAAGGAAGTACTTTTTTAATTGTTTAGTGATTGTATTTATCAAGTTCAAGTACAGCTTCCAGCACCACGCGGCCTCGAAGTTTAGACAATTAACGTACCTAATTTGTTTAACAGTACAACTTAAGGGCTCGGTCTTTAATTAATACACAAAATGATTATACTCGCAAATTATATGCAAATTTTTTGTTTTGTACGTTTTTGGATAGATATTTGTATTTTTCGTTTAAAGAACGTTTGAAAAGTTAGGTAAACTTTATGGCGCCGATTTTGAAGAGATTACAGGAAAGGCGTTGTTTATCTTCCGCAATAGGTCACGTTCAAGAACGGATAAGATCTAGATACGTATTGAAAATGAAGATATGAGGCAATTACGATAACGAGTTATGAAAGTGAACAGTAACGGGCGCATAACGGTTTCGTTCAGGGATGCGTAACGATGTCTGATAAGGTGCAGTTCCAGCATCTTAAAAAAAACGAGATATCCAAAAGGGTAAAGAGTAAATTTGCACTGTTCCAAGATATATGGTCGCCTTGTACTGAATATAGAGACCCTTACATCCTTGCCAAATTCCGTTCATGTCCTCCTCTGCACCTTCCCACGAAAATTTTCTGGATTTTTCTCAAATATCTTTCACGTTCTCTTTCTCAAATTTCCCTCAATAAAATTCTGGCCTGTTAAATTCTCGTCAAGTATTCCTGAAGTTCTTCTCGAGTGTGTACCACGGTCCTCTTAACTTACATTCAATTTCATTTTAAATGCTTCTCATGTTTTTTTCACGGTTCAACGAAATTCTTTTCAAATTATGCTCTAATTCATGTTCTGTTCGCCTGATGTATGTACCTCTAAAATTCACTCCATGTTTCCTTCAAGCTCTGCTCAGTTGCCTTCTCATGTTTCCTTCAAATTTTCTTTACGTGTCCATCCAGTTTCTATCAAATTCCCAAGCAGGTAATGGTTATTCATAAGGCGCAGTAGGCCTAGGACTTAAGAAATTGACACTAGATAAATTTCCTCTTAAGACGCCCTCCGGTTATCCATCTTCCCTCGGGTTCCCCCATATTTCCATCAAGTTTCCCTACAAATTTTCCTCGTGTTCACTTTTTGTATCCTTCCATTTCCCATTGTTCCCTGCCATATTTTGAGGTTTTATTAAATCCTTGTTAAACTCCCTCTGTGCTTTTCTCTCAACCTTTTCTAAATCCCATTGTAAGCCGCTCTTATGATTCTCAAATTGATATCAATTTATCCTCAAAGCGTCCTTTTGAGTTGATTTCAAATCCTCTATCTTAGGTTGTCTTGAATTCCACAATATCTCTCCACCCCCCATCTAATTGTTCTCAATGCATATTTTCATTCGAAATTTGCTCTTGAGTATTATTTATAAAGGTCCACCGAATCTTGCCTTTTTAAAGGGCATTCCCTAACCCACATGCCTCTGGTTTGACGGTCCGGTTTGACGGTCCATGCGCTAAAGGGAATGACCAGACTCCCCGGTACTAGATTCTCTCTCAAGACGTTCAGCCCTAAGAATTCCCTGACAATGACAGAGTTTGAAGCACCAGAAATCCGAATCAAACAAAATCTCGATGATGTCGGTCTGTCGGTCCGTCGCTGTACTCGCATTTCCAGCTAAACGGCTGAACCGATTGAAACCAAATTTGGTACACGTATTCTTAGACATAAAAGGGTACACTCGCGCATGCGTAGGTGTGCGGGTGGTATTTGTGCTAGCCATAGCACCTTTTTTAAAGGGCATTTTTTTCCGTAAGCCATAAGCTTTTGGTTTAATTATCCTTTTTCAAAAATGATGACCCAACTGCTACAAATACTGAATATGTTGGGGAACGTTCCTGGACCGTTGGGTCTACGGGGTATGCCATTTCTCCCAGGCAAAAAGCAAGATTCATTGTTCTATTTCCTACAGTTTTCATAAGATTTTCATGCGCTAGAGAGAGTGGCTGGGGGGTGTGGTACTACATTCTCTCAAAAAACGTTCAGCACTAAGGATTCCCTGATAGTTTTTCATAAAGATCCACCGAATCTTCCTTTTTTAAAGGGCATTCCCTAACCCACAGGCCTCTGGTTTGATGATCATTTTACAAAAATGCTGGCGTAAGTGCAGTGAATATAGACAGTTGAATAGGAATTTAACACACTAAACCTTCCCCATACTTCTTTATTAAAAAATTGTGAATAAAATCACATAGCCAGCTATGTGATTTTATTCACAATTTTTTAATAAAGAAGTATGGGGAAGGTTTAGTGTGTTAAATTCCTATTCAACTGTCTACTTTCTGACCCCGTTTTGAGCTTTACCACCATGGATTCCCACCAAGATGCAGTGAATATGTTGGAGAAGGTTCTTGGACTGGGGGGTCAGATGGGTATGAAATATCCCTCAGGAAAAAAGCAAGATTCAACGTTCTATTTCCCACGGTTGTCATACCATTTTCTTGCACCAGAAGCAATGGCTGTGGAGTATTCCATGCCCTCCAGACCTCCCGGTACTACAATCTCTCTCAAAACTTTCAGCCCTGATTTCCTGATAGTTTTTCATGAAAGTCTACTAAATCTTTTTTTTAAGGGCATTTCCTAAATCACAGTCCTCTGGTTTAATGGTGCTTTGCCAAAAATGATTACGCAAGTGCTAAAAGCAGTGAATATGTTGAGGAAGGTTGTTGGGTCTGGAAAACCCCCCAGAAAAAAGAAATATTCAACGTTTTATTTCCTACAGTTATCATAAGGTTTTTGTGCGCTAGAGGGAATTGTGGGTGGTACTCCATACCCCCCAGACCCCCGGTACTACATTCTATTTCAGAGGATTCACTGATAGTTTTTCGTAAGGGTCCACCGAATTTCACTTTTTAAACGGCATTCGCTAACCCACAGGCCTCTGGCTTGATGGTCCTTTTCCAAAAATGATGGCGCAAGTGAATATGTTGGAGAAGGTTCTTGGGTCGGGGGGGTCTGGGCCATACCCCCAGGAAAAACAAGATCCAACGTTCTATTTCCTACCGTTATCAAATTTTCGTGCGCTAGAGGGAATGGCTGGGGGTATCCCATACCCCTAAACCCATCGGTGCTACATTCTCTCTCAAAACGTTCAGCCATAAGGATTCTCTGATAGTTTTTCATAAAACGCCACCGAATCTTCCTTTTTTAAATGACATTGTCTAACCCACAGGGCACTGGTTTGAGGGTTCTTTTCCAAAAATGTTAGGGCAAGTGCTAAAAGCGCTGAATATATTGGGGAAGGTCTTTGGGCCAGGGGTATGGAATACCCCCCAGACAAAAATATAGTATATTAAGTATGGAGAACGGTAAGGGATTTTTACCGTTCGAAGACAATTGTTTGGAGGAGGAGCGAAGCGACGACTCCAATTATTGTCTGAGAACGGTAACCCTTAACGTTCGACGTGCTTATAACATTTTTTGCGCGATCGAAATTAAAATTATTCAACCAATATAAATATGCACTAAGAAATTAACGAGCAGAATAAATCGAAATGATCGAAGTGGTATGGTGTACATCACTAGGTAACCAGTTTATTTGTCAAAATTGAAATTAATAATTTCATAAAATTGTGCATGTGTCTGATGTAGTTTGCTAGCTTTGCACTTCCTTTATGACTTTATGAGCCAGGTATTTGCCGGTGGCCGAATGGTATGTCGAAGATTAAATTAAAGATTAAATGTAATGTAAGACTGTTAACATTGAACTGATTGTTTTTAAAAAGGCGTCGGTAAGTATTTTTGCTGTTCTGTTTTCAGATCGGTAAGTAATTTTGGCGTCGTCGTAATCATAGCAACTGGTAAATTCCACTTACTGTCATGGAAACACACATGGTAAATAGTCAGAAATGACCGATCGCGCAAAAAAAGATTTAAGATTGTATTTCCTGTAGTGATCAGAAGATTTTTGTACGCTAGAGGGTATGGCTGATAAGAAAGTATTCCAGACTCCCCGGTACTACATTCTGTCTCAAAACGTTCAGCCCTAAGGAACCCCTGAGAGTTTTTCATAAAGGTCCACCGAATCCTCCTTGTTTAAGGGGCATTCCCTAACCCACAAGCCTCTGGTTTGATGGGCTTTTTCCAAAAATGATGGCGCAAGTGATAAGAGCACTGAATATGTTGGGGAATGTTGTTGGACCGGGGGGTCAACCTCTCATACTCTTAGGAATGTGCAAGGAAAATTCTGTTGACAATTCAACTCATGTATAAAAAATCGCATAAGCCGCAGTGCAATTGTCACTTTGACAGCGGCAAAAGTTACCTGCATCTTTTCCAGCGACAAATGCACTAGTGGTTTTTTCACTATTCATTTTCGAACCAATTATCACATTATCCTTTCCCATATGACTAGTTTGACGTCTGTCAATAATTGATTAGTTTGGTGAATTTCTTGTTCGTTAAATTGTCCTGCCGAATTACACTCGAGGTTTGTAGTTAAACCGAGTAAATTTGGGTTGTTGCAATTCAAATCTGTTTCCTTTTAGCAATTGAACTCGAAAAACTGTCAACTAATAAAAATGCGACACCGTATAATTGCTAGGCAACAGATTTTCATTACCTTAACAACCCAAATTTACTCGGTAAAATACAAACCTCTTGTGTAATTATAAGTGAAAAATTGTGCAAAGTTCCATTCGAAATACGAGTATAGTCGTCTGTTCCTGCCACCTCTTATTCTTTCCTGACCTTTTCTGGTCTATCCTGTTCTTCCCCCTCTACTCCAGTACCACTCTACATTTCAGACTCTCAGAAATTTTTTGGTGCCATGTGTCAAAATAGCTTTTTTATTATACTTCATTGAAATCACATTATTTACACCTGTATTAGAAATAATGGTATCTAACCTTTTACAGGCTAGCGCACGGAAAAACTTTTCCCGGTCCCTTTGATTCTTTCCGTGCGCTGAATATAAATACCCAAAATATTGCTTTAAAATACAAATTTACAGGGAAGTAAACTAATTTTCAGAAATTCTATATGCGTTGTAATCTTTCATATGTAAGTATTTTGCATTTTAATTCGTAGATGTTTGAATATTTAGATAAACTTCTTTGAGATTTTGTGACATTTTTTGACGTTTCGTCAACCTTATTTAAAATAAACTAATTAAACAAATCGCCTTTGAAATGATTTGAGAGTAACCATGAAAACGCATTTTCTATAACTGTTACAAAATAAAAATGTTGGCGAGTTTGTTGTTTTTGTTATCGATTTAAAAGAAGTATAATAAAAAAATATCGTTCATTACATGTCCAGAAATGCTTTTTCCCTGCTTGCATGACTTCCCGTGTTCGGCTACGCCTCACACGGGAATTTGTCACGCACGCACGAAAAAAGCCTGCTTTCCGGACTCGTAATGAAATATACTATTTTCATTTGTACACTACGACCGAAAAATTTTCCAAACTGAAACTATGCTTCTCCATTTTAATCCAAGATAAACTTGATTCTAAATGTGCAAGAAGTTGGGCATTCTGTGGAATTCAAGGCGACCAAGTTTTGGATTTTGTAGTGTTCCTGAGCAATAGATTGGCAAATGCGCAAAAATGGAGATAATATACTAGCATTAAATCGCAGCTATTAGATACGCAAACATTAAAATAAAAAGTATGTGATAATTCCAGCCCAATGTCATCTTTGTATTGTTTTAGGTTTTTTAATTCCACAAAGGTACGTTTTGGGATTAATGGGATTTATGGCCGTAATCAACGCGTACCTAATGAGGGTGGTTTTATCTGTCGCAATCACGGAAATGGTAGTGCCCATAAAAATCGCCGACCACTCTGACGGCGACACGTGCCCGGATCCAGCAGCCGTGTTGAACAAGAATGCGACAATTTCGGTAAGGGATTGCGTAAAAAACTTTGACATTGAAGTCTCTAATAAACCATAAAAATACTTCGCCGACGTTTTTTGGGGGAGTTAGAAACTGAGGTACGGAATTAATTATTTGGATTTTAAAAACTTAACGCAACACAAAATCCAATTATACGCTTCATAAATTTACGTTGAAGAAAGAAACGCTCCGCATTTTTTTGTATTAAAATATCCTTGGGCATTTTCGCGTTTTTGCTTTATTATGTGTATAAACAATGAGCTTGTGTAGAAAGTGTTTGCAAATTTAATTTGTTAATTAAAATTCCTCTGTACAGCACCGAAAGTGCTAACGGGAAAACTTTAATTATCGTTTAGCTTTAATAATTTGCATGATCATTTATTGCATTTTTACTATTGAAAGTTGAATGGAAATTTGCAGCGCTTAGTTGAACTATTTCCCAAATTGTCGTTAAAAAAACTGGCTTGGACATTCCATTGTGCGGGATTTTTTAAAAGAGTGGTCTCAAATTTCCCCAGTTCGACTTGTGGACCAGCAAAGATGAAGAAGAATGGGCTTGTTGTTTCTTTAACCTTGTTTGAAGAAAGGAACCCCTAACCTTTGTTGGCAGGTTTGACTAAATCCAAAATCCCATTTTTGAGGGTACCATGTCGTGACAGAATACGTAAGAGATACATTTCTAAAGTTGAGACGCAGTTGTGACTGACGCAGAACAATTTGTGCAGCATAGAGCGCGTCTATGACCTCGACCCGACCGAGAAACTATTCAGAGATGTTAAAAAACAATTACTTGGCTAGTAACGGAAATTGATTGCAAAATCTTCCTCCGATAGTAAGGTCAAAGAGTAAACACAAAATAATAAGTCTATACCAAAGTGGCCATAAAATGTGGCATTAAACGGTAATCACATCCAAATGACTGTTGCATTTAGGTCAGAAATAACTGGCTGCGTAAGTGACAAATCCAACGTAGCTTCCAGACCTAAAGGCTTACCCAAGAGATTTAAATTTCCCATTCGTTGTGAAGTTATCCACTAAACCCTAAAAAATCGAGCGTATTTTTGAGTTTATAGAGCCATCAGTGACGAAGAAACCCCGCGTAGATGCTTCCCACTTGTGGTGAAAGCCTTTAAAAAACGTGACTTTTTTACTTATAGAGCGATCAGTATCTCTACGCATGGAGCGAACAGACCCAAGGTCTTGTTCTCAGCTCGTTTTACTGGGGCTACGTACTCACTCATCTGCCCGGCGGAATTCTGGCGGAGAGATTCGGTGGCAAGTACAGTTTAGGATTGGGAATACTGTCGACGGCCCTTTTCACCTTGCTGACACCGGTCGTTGTGAAGGCGGGCGACTGGCAGTGGCTGATCGTGCTTCGGGTGTTCGTTGGATTCGGTGAGGTAAAGTGAGCCGTTCGCGCCTTGTGCGAAATTTAATTTAATCGTTGAAGGGCACAACGTTTCCGGCACTAAACGCCTTGCTGTCAAAATGGGTGCCGCTCTCCGAAAGGGCGACGCTTGGCACGCTAGTTTACTCCGGTGCGCAAATGGGCAACGTGATCGGAAATGCGGCCAGCGGCATCATTATTCACTCGACCAAGTCGTGGGAATCGGTCTTTTATGTTTTTGGAGGGATTGGCGTGGTCTGGTTTGCGTTTTGGGTCGTTCTGTGCTACTCTGAACCGAACACGCACCCCTTCATTAGTGACGATGAAAAGAAATTTTTGGAAAAGGAACTCAGTAAGTCTAAACGTACCAAAAAACGGTGCGAATTTCACGATTTGTTTTAGAAGACGTTTGGAAATCTCGTAGGGCGACGCCATGGAAAGCGATGCTAACCTCCGTGCCTTTATGGGCTCTGGTGGTCGCGCAGTTAGGGCACGATTGGGGATTATTCACTATGGTCTCCGATTTGCCCAAATATATGAAGAGCGTGTTAAAGTTTAACGTAAGAGAAAGCGGTATTTTGGCATCACTCCCATACTTGGTTATGTGGATAGTCTCCATGATCTCGGGGCGATTGTGCGATTACCTCGTAGTAAACGGTTACATGAGAATCACATTCGCAAGGAAGTTCTTTACGACATTAGGTGAGGGTCAACGCAAAACTTCGTTACAGGTCACTAATGATGAATTTTAGCGTCGCTTGGTCCAGGAATCTTTATACTAGCCGCATCATACGCAGGATGCGATCGCACGATGACCGTAGCCTTCTTTACACTCGGAATGGCGTTCATGGGCTTCTTTTACTGTGGCATGAAGGTGAACGCTCTGGACCTTTCGCCCAATTTTGCTGGAACGCTAATGGCGATAGTCAACGGCCTTGGGGCATTCAGCGGGATGGTAACTCCTTACCTTGCCGGAGCCCTAACCGAGGATGTAAGTATGGTTTACGACGATGTCATTATCTTAATCTGCTCTCTTTTAGCAAACACTCTCCCAGTGGAGATTAGTCTTTTGGATCACCCTGGGTGTGTTCCTAGTCACGAACGGCGTGTTTGTGGCATTTGGCAGCGGAGAAACGCAGTGGTGGAATTCGGGCGAAAAGCCAAGTGACGACGTAGAGAATGACACTAAGGATCGATACGTAATGAAGGAAACTTTATGAACAAGTTTTATTGTTAGGAACGCACATAGTATTAGAATTAGTTAGGAATTAACTAATCTAATCCCTATAGATGATTGCATGAGAAAATCATCGTCTGTGATAAATGACTTGTGAAGTCAAGATAATAATTTCGCTCGAATAGCTCAAATCAGACAACTGCCAGTCACTTGGACATTCGAGCAATAGATTATTACTCGTATTTTATTTTATATAGGAAACAAGACGCGTATTGTTGTAAATAATGTTAATTTTAACTAATGGACTACGTGGAGTTATAATCCACACACATAAGTAAAATAAATAAAAAAATTTAGTTTTATTCTAAATAAATAAATGGCGCAATGTAACTTTGCTGAGACCTACGTGTCGATTTTTTCGTACAGTTTGTCAGTATTTGAACAGTTGGAAAGCTTTACTGATGAAGCGACCGAATTTATATCTATTTATTTGTTTATTTTAAAAGCTGTTACATTGAGGTTAATATATTAGTATTTATTTTTAAGAGGACTTTAATATAATAATAAATTATTCATAGAAAAGTTAGTAATTTTCAAATAGACTAAATCATCATTACCATGGCTGGAAAATGGTGTGACATTCAAGCTAATATTATTCTGTGCACAAAGTAGGCTACATACTTGACTTGAATCATTGAATAATTCACTCAACGCCTGAACGAAAGCACCTGGGCATTATTATTTTGGAGAATTGTGGTTTCGTAGAAAAAAAATATTTCTATTTTTCATCCAGCTTCGCAGGAGATTCTAATATCTCAAATGGTGGAAATATAAAAGAGACGAAAAATGCATTCATACCCCCTCGGGTAGTCCACTAAAACTATATAAACTTGCGGATATATCAGTAAGAACTATCCTATGTCTCACTAGGTTGAAGGATTTCATTTTTGTAACAAGTACCAAGGTACATATTTTAAGATACAATATTAATTAAAACCAAACAAAGACGAAACGAATTACCATTTCATTTAATTTCTTTATTTTTAATTAACATGTAGATTTAATTGAAAAAAAACGTGTAAGTATTTTTGTATTTTTTGGAATTTGACCCATTGGTTACTTTCATTGTATTAAAACATTGTGTTGTTTTACCCTTGAGTTAGTATTAGCATTAGATAAGGCCAATTTTGACGTTTGACATAAATAAACTTTTGTAGCCACTTTAACAAAAGCTACCCCATAAATTATTCACAGAAATATAATTTTTGAAATTTTGCTTTTCTACGTAAAATGGGAAAAAGAGCTCGATGGCCAAGAAGAAAAGAACTAAAAATTACAGTTTTAATTGCGACGAGGGTGCAAAAGTATTTAATACTTCATCTGCACAGGGGGTTTGAAATTATTCTCGGCTGAATATTTTATGTACAGGTCTCAAACATTGTGAGAACACCACAAAAATGTGGTCTGGAAAACATTTGTAGCTCGTTATCGTTTTGTAGAATGATTGTTCTTCTAAGAAGCAGTATACTGTACGGTATAATCTTTTTCAAAGGTAAGAAAATCACCCTGCCCCCAGAAGCACTCGAACAGAACAAAGAAATGATCGAGCTTCATTGAAATGTGTAAACTTTTAAAAATATGTACTTTAGTATTGCTCTAAAAGCTGAATCTTTTGGGTATTGCTCTAATTTTTTTCCTGAAATTTGTTTTTAATGCCTATTGTTAATGTCTACATTGTTTCAATTTTTGAATAAATGGCGGCTGCAGATAGTGCTTTGGTAATTCATTACCTAAAATTCACTTAGTGGTGTTGCGTTGAATCCTGTTGAAATGTATAATGAAAATTCGAAAATAAATAAATTAAAGAAATATAGCTTGGCATTTCGTATTATATAGTCCATTTTGAATTTCATGCAATTCAGTTAATAACTAACGGAGATGTGAAAAGGGCTTTCTTTATTTCTTGGCCTACATTAGACAATTTACGAACTCTGATCTACAAATTTGATAAAAAATCCACCTGAGAAGTTTCATCGTAGTCGGTCCATTCATTTTCGAGATATCGTGTTAACGGGCAGACGGACAAACGAACAGACACCGCAAAATTATGAACTCGCTAGGAGATCATACAAATAGTAGCTACTATTCACTTTAGTTGTGCCGATTACCACTTGCTCACTAACGCTAACCCGTAAATTAATATATGTGTAGGTACAGGAATAGAGAAAATTTCGAATTAAAGAAGTGAAGTTTACGAAGAAGTACTGAAGTAGTTGCTACTCAGTATCAGTTAAAGGTTTTTTTCCGTTCCACTTCTTACTGCGTCTGCGAATAAATTAAACACCTGTGTTTTCTTATCGGCGTAAAAGATCTGCAATAACATGTGCTTATCTTGAAGCTAATTAACGTACGCAACGATGACGCTCTTATAAGAATAACAGAGTCAAAAAAAAATGAACTCAGTCTTTTAGCACGTAATTTGTTCACAAATACAAGCGATTATTGAAACAAAATTACACATCATTAAATAAATAATTCTAAATAAAATCAACAGTGACTTCAAATTTAAAAGATATAATCGAAATTGTGTCCAATCTAAAATTAACGACCACATCTACGCTGAAAGACAAATGAAATTCACACATACAGAGCGACTCATCGTTATTTTAGGTGCTGATAACACATAAAACGTCCCCCTGGCGTAGTTTACACAAAAATATGTCTCATCCAGTCCATTCATTTTGACTTTGTGAGTACTCTCCTCCGAAACACCGGTAACAACATTGTATATAAAATTTCTTATTATTCTAATACATTTCATTTGCAGGCAGAACAATAAGTTTTCTTTTGGTTAGTGAGTCCATACGTTGAGTGAAAGACGCTCAATGCTAGTATCCCATAGGATAGTGCGATTAAAAATGGCCAAACAAAAGTGAGTTAATTTACCAACGGCCAAAGCAGCAGGTTAATTGTTTTCTGAAACTAAACTTACTAACCACTAAACAAATTGTTAATTTCAAGATATTGCTCTATTTGCACTTTTAAGGTGACTCAAATATTTTTTCAAAGATAGACCTCACAGATATAGCTCTAAGTACAACCTTTTTTTTCAAAAGAAAATGTTAATTACCGGAGTAACAATTTCCGTTTTCGTCATGTATCTTGAAGAAATGTATGATATGTAGATACAAAGAACAAGAGAGACAGTTAGAATCTGGGAATTATCGTATGCAAATTTTACTTTCGTTCAGTTTTCTGTTATAGAAATTAGCACTTTTAACCACAGGTACCATTGGCGAAGGGAAAAGCTTTGGCAGGATCCGTAAAATGATGTGAAGTGATTTTGAATAGACTTTAAAGATTTAAAGTGCGGTCGAATAAGACGTATCGTTTCGGTTACTGACTTTTCTCTAAGCCAAATTGTTGTTCGGTTTCTTTTGTATTTATTCGACCCTTGGAAATTGATAACAAAGGCCTTCGCAGAATGCGTTAGTTATACCTACGTCTAATGGAGGCATGTGTTGCCATTGTACTAATCGGCTTCTTTACAATCCAATTTTACTGATTTCGAAAGAACCAATCACAGAATTGCCACTGCGGCATTCAATAATAAATACGAAAAGTAATATAAAGTCACGATTCTATGAATAATGAATTCCGATTTAAATCCAATCCTTTAACACTTCGGGTGGTCTCCCTCCTGGGCATTGGAGGAATAGTGGAATCGGTCTCGTTCCCGACAGAATTCTATTACATTGACGCTTATAATTTATATGACGCAATTTAATTACGGTACCACCGCCGAGAAGGTCGAGGATTTCGAATATTGTTTATCGAAGCGGGGGCGCTTTAATTTTTTGGACAATTGAAGTTATTTTTAATTTATCGCATACGGCGTTAAGTAACCACCTATAGTGAGGGTTAAACGAAAAATTTTCAACCCCCCATCTGTTTTTGAGCGCAACACTCGTGTAATTTATTATATACGAATACGAATAGCATCTGCCTTATAAAAAACTGATCTGATCCGATTTTTTCTCGAAATCTGAGGGTGTTGTGGCTACATCATGATTCTACACAAATGTGTAGAATCATGATGTAGCCACAACCTATTGTTCCCAAAATTAAATTTCGCCATCATTACTCACTGGGTGATTTAACACGATGACTTGTCACAAACGACAAATTAGTCGAAATGCGTTTCGTCGAGTACCTGCAATTTATTACTTAAGGTGATATCATCGGACGTGATTATTAATTAGGTATTGTTTGGAATACGGCACCTCCTTTGTGACAACGTGAAGGAATTTCGGCCTGTCGACTCGAAAGTGTACCTATTTGAAGAAGAACGGTAAATATTTGTCTGTTTGTTGTTCGTTTCAATAGCGAAGAGGTGGTCTATTTTTTTCAAAGGTTAGTTGCACTGTTGGTCACTGTTGCTTTTTTGGGGCGGTTTTGAATATTGCACAGTCAACGGTCGGTCTAAAATTTGTACGATACAGGTAATAAATCAAAGTTGTGGTGATACGCCCTTAAGAATAACCATTAATTTCTTATGCGATCTTTAAATTTAGGGCACCTTGCCCTCTAAACTTGGTATTGTTCGAAAACATCTGCTTCTAACCGCATCTATTATAAGACATTGATATGGATACATTCATTATGTGCGTACCTTCCTTAAGGAACGATGAATACTTTGAGAGGACAGAATTTTGTATTCACCGAAGTAAAACGTGGTAAATTACCTTGCACCTTTACCCTGCTTGATGCAAAGGGAGAACTACTACTTTCAATAGTAACATTTGATTTAGAGAAAAAAAGGATGATAGAAGCAGATCATTCGTGCTACTTTAGAGCTGTTTCGTGAAAAAGCTGAATCTCTATGACAGGCCAATCAAGAGATTACAGACTTAATGTTGGATGCTGAGTTGCTGACGCTATAGAGGATCAAGTATATGCGGAAATAGTAATAGCATGTGCACATAAGTATGGAGCTTGAATCTGCAATATGAACTAGTCTCTTCTGCTGTACTTAGTTTATAATTACGAAACTGAAAACATTCGACGTGAAACAGATAGTACCTACCAAAGGCATTGAATTTAAAACATTCATTGGGGGTATACGTAATTGGTTATCATTTTGGAGTCAATTTCGTAAGATACACTTACCCATGAAGATGTTTCATTCAAACAGTAGGTACTCGTGTTAGTGAATACCTCCCACGGGTGACAATTATACTGAAGTTATCGCAAGTCTCAAAGATTGTTTTGGAAGGAAAGACCTATTCGTGGAAGTCTACGTACGGGAGCTGGTAACAATGATTTTAAATAAGGCACTGTCTCCTAATAAAAAACACTGTCTCTCTAGTTTATAGGATCGTATTAAAACCCACTTAAGGGAATTTGGCAATTAGACCAAAAGACCATTACACACTTGGTTTGGAAAAATAGTCTCGGTCTAGGTCAATCACACAAATCACACAAATTTACGGTAACGTATCAGTAAGAGATTTAACAGTAATATTTGCCACTGAAAAATCCGAAATTCCGTTTCTTTTCTATGCTTTGAAAACTTAATGCTGAAGAGACTACCTTTGTTGAGATTTCCGCAAGATTGTAACAATTTCAATTTTTCTTAGAATTCCTTATGATATCGCTTATAGGAGGTTTCCTCCATTCCAGATGTGGGCACACAACTCCTCCAACTGGAAAAATTCAGAATTCCGTTCTCATACGATTTGCCAAAAGACAAATAATATTTTTCGTACTCTACATGTCCATGCAGTGCAAAGATCTGAAACCTAGGGACGGGCGGACAGACGCACTTTGAGCTATACTTTTCATGAAAATTGGTTCGAAACTTTTCACACTCCATTAGGACAAAATCTTAATCATAATTAGTTACATACGTAAATTACTGTGTATGCTATGATCACTTAATAATCAATCGATGAATAGTCACGTCCCGGTTTTGTTTTGAAATTAGTGTCAGGGTCTGGATCACGGAAAACAAAAAATATATACCGATTATAGTGGTTGGATTATATTTAGATAGATTAACGAATAACACCTGCTGTAAAGATAAGCCACAGATTAAAATGCTATTTTAGTTTGTGATTTACTTCGGAATTAAGTAGCCTTTGCGTAGAAAAGCGTAAAAAGTCTCATCTCATCTCATCTCTATTTCTATTTTTCTTAACTTTAGGTGCTCTATGGTGTATGCAAAAATGGCCTTTTATGTTACCGCTAAAATAATTAAAAAGCACGGCTTATGC